CGGTTGCCCCAGGTTCCCGCCTCTGCTGGTCGTTTGCCCAAGGGGGGGGGGGAGACCTCCTCCAGCCCTCTTCTGCCCACACAGCAATCAGTTTAGTCTCGGCCGCATTTTGGAATAAAGTACAAAGCCCGAGGCTCCTGACTTCTCTGCCTGGAAGTAGGGGGTGGAGGGAGGAAGAACTGCCACAAGAAGCTGCGCCATTTGGTGGTGTCTTGCTTGGCCACTGTCAAGAATGTCCCGAAACACCCTTTGGTACATCACTTATGTATCGATTTGTAAAATGGTCAAGTGTGGGCCTCTGGGGTGCCTGAGTACAAAATCATGCAGAGTACAAAAGTACTTCATTTTATCCAGGAGACAGGTAAGTGTGACTTTGTTACAGCTATGCAGTGCTTCCGTGAGTTCTCCTCCGATTCTTGTCGCTCTGCTGTGTCCATGCCTCTTCTTAAATTCCTTTTTCTCTGTCTGTGCCTGTAGCTCTTCAGCCTTTTAAACCCAGAAAAGAGGGAAATGACCTTTTTGGGGTTTTAACCTCTAACCCAATGTCATGCATCTTTGACATTGGTGCTCTTCCTTGCGGCTTTCCTTGAGCACTTGGCCATCACATATGGCTTTGTGGCTCTATGGCTGACCCTCACTCTGGCCTCAACAGGTGGAGGCTGGCCTTCCCAAAATACCAGCAAGGCTTCCTTTAACCCCGGCCGCTGGATCAGCTTCGGTTTCAGCTCTAACACCCAGCTGCCACTCTATTTTTAGGAGGAGTGTGCAAGAATACGATGGAGCGGGGAAAAACTTTCCATAGCCCCTCTCTCGGCTACAATCGTAAAATGATCGGAGGCCTTTGCACGCAGAGCCCCTTGTTCCTGTCCAGCCAGCATTATCTAGTCTTCAGGACTGCCCAGCTGTAACACTCGCTTTGCAGGCTTGGCTGAAGCTCCCTGCAATGACTCCAGAATTGCTTGTTTCCACCAGGTAAAAAAAAACCCCAACTGGATTTCTAAATACAAAGTTTTTTTTGATAAAAGCGTACTTAAAAAATAATCTCAAAAGTCTGACTTCCCACAGTTTAGCATACAATTATATGATGCTTTGTTCTGCTACAGGCTCCCACTTTTTAAAGGGAGAAAACACTGCACGAAACGAGCCGTCGGAAGCGGTGGGGGGGGGTGGGCTGCCTTTTTATTTGGTTGCCTCCACCAATGGGGTTGGGAGGCAAATAGTTCGCAGAATATTATGAATGCTATTAAAAGGATATGGATGAAAAGCGGGGAAGGGGATTACTGTTGTGAAGAAAATGACGAATTTGAAGAGGTGGTGGGTATGTTAAAACATGCACTAGCTCTTAATCAAATGGACTCGGTACTACAGAAAACAGCTTAAATAGTAGACCTTGTTAGGAATCTGAATTGATCTTGCACGAATTTAAGTGGTGGGAGCTAGAGGGACTGTGATTACTGTTAGCATGTATACTTAGGAATGTATTCCCACCCCCCCTTTTCTGAGAGAACAATTTCCACTTCGAACTCCGAGATCCAGCCCACCCATCATATAAAGAAAACCTTCAATAGTTAGGGCTCTGACTGCTACTTTGCAGCTGTATTTATTCATCCATCTTGTGGGATATTAATGAGATTTGTTTGTGTAGTTCAACTCAAGACTGCACTATGCCTAACTGACATTTTTAAAAATCAGTGTGCTAGGGCAGTTCTAGTGTCTAATATAGTCATGTGCTCATGTACCACGTTTAATGTTCATTGCTGCATCCCTTAGAACTTATTGTGGGGAAAAAAATGGGTGGTTTTTTTTGCATTTTGTGTGTGTGTGTGCGAGCGCACACCTGTGCCTGGAAGTTATGACGACCTCCGGCAACTCCTGCTGGGGCATGGAAGACATTTAGAGGAGTGGCTTGATAGCCTGTCTCTGCCTCCTGACCTTGGTATTCTTTGGAAGTCTCCCATCAAAATCCTTCCCAGGGTCGGCCCTGCTTAGTTTCTTAGTTGTCTGTTGTGGGGAGGGGAAGGGAAAGGAGTTTGTAACTGGCTTTGATACTTCGAGTAAAGGCCAGGGTATAAATCCAACTCTGCTTCTACTTCTGTGTGTGTTCATTAAAGGTGATATTTTATGTATAAAATTGTGCTTTTTGCAAGACATGCTTTGAAAAACCAACTGAAACTGTTACCATGGACTAGAAATTACTTAACTGGGTAACAAACCCTCCTTGTAAACTTCACTAAGATTTTGAAATGTGCACTTTGCGTCGACTTCCGGTTGATGGCGGCACGCTTGCGTACTCACCTCCCGGACCTCCCGGGGGTGTCTCCGTGCTCCGGCGGAAGGAGGGGGCGAGCAGGCTTGTAAACCCCCCCAGGAGCCCGACGAAGGGACCCTGGCCAAGGAGCTTTAAGGGGTAGCCTCTTCGATGGCGGAATGCCAGAGAGACCAAATGGTACAAGTGAAGCTAACCAGGTCAAGCGCAGGAGATTGGGCGTTAAAAATGATGAAAGAAGCGTGGTCGGAAGGCCAACTATGAACGTGAGTCAACTGGGAAATGATTTTTGAAAGAAAAGACGCTCCCTACCCTACTCTGCGGAATGGGAAAAGCGAGTGGGGGGGGGACGCCTCCCATGCGCATAAGCTGTTGAGCGAAAGGGGGGGAAGCAGAAGAAAAACGCGATTAAATTGCCCAGAAGTACTTACCCAATCGAGCTAAGCAGTTAAGCGCATATTCAGAGACTTTTAAAAACTTTTTGAAAGTAAACAAATGGGAAAAAGATGGCGGGGAAGAGGGACAAAGACAAAGAAAGACTTTTGAAAACGAAACTAGAGTCCCCTAAGCCGGAAACGACCAGTGAGATGGCAAAGGCTATAGCTGACTTCATGCGCCCTCTACTGGAACAGCTGAATAACTTCAAAGAGCAGATGTCCGTGGTAACACAAAGCATTACTGTGCAACAAACGCAAATAACTGATCTGATCCAAGTAATGAAGCAGGATGCTGAGAAAGTAAAGGAAGTGGCTGAATCAACGCAGAAAGTGAAGAAGAAAGTGCAAAAATTGGAAAAGAAAACTTCTTCTTTGGAAGATCAAAT